TTTAGGGCCTGGCGCAGTAGCCTAGTGGCTAGAGTCCTTGCCTCGCACATGCTAGGATTCCATATAGGCACCAGTTCTAATCCTGACAGCCCCATTCTGCATCCAGCTCCCTGCTTGTGGCCTGGGAAAGCAGTGGAGGATGGGCCAAAGCTTGGGACCCTGCACCCATGTGGGAGACCTGGAGAAGGCTCCTAGAGCCTGGCTTCAGATTGGCTCAGCTCTGGCCTTTGCGGCTACTTGGGGAATGAGTCAGTGGTGGGGAATCTTCCTTTCTGTCTCTCTGGCTCTCTGTATATTTGATTTTCAATAAAAAATAAAACAAATCTTAAAAAAAAGAAAATAGCTTTACAAAGTATATATACATATAAGGGCTTTTTTCTTGTAGTGCCTTATATAATTTAACAACTATTTGCATTACGTTTGCATTGTATTAGGTATTATAAGTAACTTAGAGATGATTTACATTAAAAAATGTTCAAACAGAATTAAAATTTTGTTTAAATGTTTCCATTATTCATGAATTTAATGCTGTGTCTTGTTCACCACACATCTGAAGTTTAATGTCATTCTCATCATTGAAACAAAATACCTGAATTTGCTTTGATTCATTAGCTCCTAATAATGGATTGATGTTAAAAAAGAAATGTAGGTGGAAGAAGGGGTACAATGGCGCAGGATGCCCATTATTGTTCAGGCTTTAGCTTCTGTTGTGTGAAGTACTCTGAGGAAAAACATAGAAACATAGACCTCAGCTCTCTGATCTGCAGGTGGGATTGGGAGGCTGGTGAACTCACGGAGTCTTCAAGGGCAACAGGCTGCAAAGGTGTTGGGAGGCAGCACTCGGCCCTCTTCTTGGTCTCATTGTGTCTGGGTGCACTTAGAGCTATGTGGGTTTGCTCCAGGAGCTGGGAAGCCTTCTTTAGAAAAATTGGACTTTGTTTCATTTCATTGAAAATTCCTCAGCTAACGTTTTCCTCTTATGGAATCCAGTTCTCAAAGGATTGTTGAGCTGAAAAGAAATAAATTTCTTGATTAAAAATATAAAAGTGAACCTCAGAATACTTCAAGCTGTCTTCATCTCAACTTTCTGTAGGATTTTGAAGAGAGCTTGGGTACAATATTGGGTACTCTACTAAGTGAGCCTCAAACCCAGCTGTCTCCGAGGGTTTCATGGAGAGCTTTGAAAAATGTTAATTTCTGGGTTGAACCAAAAGCTGTGGAGTCAAGGTCTCTGGACAGTTGGTCCTTGGAATCACTGGTCTGTTTGTTTGGTCAAAGCTACCCACATGAACTCAGATGATACGTAAGTTTGTAGAACCATAGGCCAGTGCCTCCCAAACAACTAATATGTGTACTTTCACAAAGTTTATAAGAAAGGTGCATTACAAAGACACGGGATAATTTCAAAATATTGTTCCAAAATATTCCATGAAGTTTCTGAAGTATGCTTGGATGTGTCTGAGTCATAAGAGTATTGTGCTATAATGCAGAATCTGGTCAACAGCTCTGAGGTGGGTTCAAGGTTTGCGTTTTTAATAAACGTCCTGGTGTTGCTGCGATCTGCAAGTCACATTGTGGGTAGTGAAGAATTGGACAACGTCCTCCTAGACAAACTTACATCTTGCTTTGTAGAGACTCTATTTGGCCATGATTATGGCTGTGACAAACCTTATTCTCACCTCCATGCTTTGCTTTACTCTGATATTGCTGAACAGCTATATTATGCTAGCCACCATGGTTTGTAGCAGGGTTCTGGTTTCTGCTGTTGTCCTTGTATAGTTATCAACAGAAAACCACCTTCATGTGCAGATGTGTCTCCATTTGGAAGAGAGATTGTGAGGTTAGTTGTTCTAAACTCAGATGTGGGTAACTGATCTGATGTAATATGGGGAACATCAGTTGTGTGCCCTGTGTAGGTAATATCACATATATGTACAACCTAAAGCAAGTCAAACCTCAGTGATTTCATGGAAAAGACACAATTGCTTTTATTTTAAGGATTTATGAAAATGATACAAGAAGTCTTTGGCAAAGTAACAGCCACCCATATGTTTAGGTCCCTGTTTCTTTACAGGCAACAGAATGAACATCTACTCTCCCCGAGTAGATAAAATAGAGTTCTGCTGTTAACTTTGGATCAGAAGCAGCTGTCATGTTAAGATGATGCGTCTGCTCCTCCACTTGCATTTCACTGAAGTCCTCATGAGCCTCACATGGAACTTAGCATGGAACCAACAGTGTCACGTAATTTCTATGGGCGCTTTAGCTATGTGACACAACCTAAATTTTGAACTAGGGAAATAAAGCTATTGATATTTGTTGAACCCAGGTGTGTATCAGATGGGGCTAGTTGCAAATTGAGACAGGTCACTAAAATGGTGAAGGACAAGGCATACACAAGCTTAATTATTTCTAGACAGAAATGGTTGCAAGATTTCCTGGGTGAGTTTCAGATCTAACAAATCACAAAATAATTTTAAAATGATTACAAAGAAAGGAAAACATATGGGTAGGGACAGAAAGTTTTTGATTATGTCTGACTACACTGAAATCTCATGGAAACATACTCAACAATGAATGGAAAAGATTTGATCAATGATTGGCTCCTGGACAGCCCTTCAGTTCTCTTGGGTAATCTTATTAACCTTTAAAACTTTAAAAGAATTAGGCATTTGAAAATTTGAGTATTAGGGCAGTGATTTAGTTTATTAGAAATCCATCTGGACCTTGGTGCTGTACATATTTCTGATTAAATAGCTAAAATAAACTTGTAGGGTGACTAGAATTATAATCTGCGTTTTACTAATGAGGAAGCAGAGATGCAGTAATTTAGTTTCCTACAAGGTCATCTCAACAGTGAAAGATAGAACTGAGACTCACACTTGGCTAACTCCCTGTTACAATCACATGTAGTTTCTCTGTGTTAACTAGCGCTTTCATCCTTTCCACATTTTAAGACATTAATCTATAGTCTAATGCAATTGCATTTGGGAATTTGGACTAGCAGCATGAACTGTGTCAGATGCGTTTTAATATGCACTAAAAACAGGCACCCCACTATATTCACTTGGAGTTGTGATAGGTAGACAAAGTGTATTCAGTTATCTTAGTTATTGAGGTGTATTGAAATACAATGGATGGTTTAGTATTGAAGCATGTATTTCAGCTGTGCAGTTTGTTATTCTGATAAACATATACACTGATGAAGCCATTATCCTAAATCAGCCATGATTGTTCCTTGGGCTTTTCTCTGTAGCTCCTTCCTTTTTTCTGTCAAGACAATACAGACAACTGTTGATTTGTGCTTTGTGACAATACAGATTTGCTTACATTTTTAGAATGTAATATAAATAAAGTTATATAGCATATACTTCCTATTGTCATATTTCTTTGTTTCAGCATATTGATTCTTTGAGCTTCATCTGAAATCTGAATTTGAGATTATTATTTGTTTCTTTTTATTGTGGAACAGTTTTATGTTATTTAAATAAAACACAAGTGTTTTTTTTTTGGAAAAAGTGTTATATATTTAAAAGGCAGAGTGCCCAAGAGAGAGAACACTTCCATATACTAGTTACCACTCCACAGATGACTGCAACATCCTGGACTGGGCCAGGTCAAAAGTAGGAAGCAGGAATTCCATGTTGGCCTCCTACATGAGTGGCAGGGGTCAAGCACTTGAGCCATTTTCCGTTGCTTTCCCAGGCACATTTGCAGGGAACTGGATTGGAATTGGCAGCCAGGTCTGTAAGCAGCTCTTCTACCTGGGATGCCAATGTCACAAGCAGCAGCTTAACGTGCAGCACTGTAACTCGAGTTCCCACTGTATGTTGTTGATCATTGCTCTGCTGATTGATATTTGAGCTGTTTTCCATGCTTGAATGTTACCAATTTGCTATGAATATTTCTGTCCATGTTTATGTACATATCTTAATATATCCCCTATAATATTTAATATCTTCAGTTAAATATATATAAACTTAGTATAACTATTAGCCATTTTAATGAATGAGCAGTGATATTGTATTTTTAAAAAAATTGTATTTTCTATTTTTTAGGATTTATTTATTTTTATTAGAAAGGAATTCAGATTTATAGAGAGAAGGAGAAACAGAAAGCTCTTCCATCAACTAGCTTACTCTCCAAATGTTCAAAACTGCCACAGCTGAGCTGACTCAAAGCCAGGAGCCAGGAGCCTCTTCTGGATCTCTCACATGGTTGCTGAGTCCCAAGGCTTTGGGTCATCCTCGACTGATTTTGCAGGCCACAAACAGAGGAGTAGAAGGGAATTGGTTGGGAAATAGAGCAGCTGGAGCATGAACTGGTGCCCATATGAGATCTTGGTGCTTGCAAGATTAGGATTTAGGCATTGAGCCATTGTGCCAGCCTGATACTGTATTTTTAACTTTTCACTTCCCTGGTCACTAATAATTTAATCATCTTTTCATATGCTGTGATATAATTGTAGATCCTTTTAGGTAAACTGTTTATTATTATTTTAAAAATTGAATTGTCTTCTCACTCTGAAGTTATCTTTTTGAAAAATATATTCTATATTTAAGTAATTATCTGGTATATACTCACGAAGTATTTTCTCCAGGCCTGTGTCTGTTGCTTTACTTTCTTAGTGGTATCTTTCAAAGAATAAGCACTTTTATTTTGTTGAGGATAAATTTATTGGTTTTTTTTTTTTCTTTTATGGCTCAAACTGTTTCTAAGAATTGTTTGCTTATCCCAGAGTCATAGTTCTTCTATGTTTCTTGTAGAACATTTTAGAGTTTCATGTTTCAAATTTAGGTCTATAACCTTTTTTAAAGTTAATTTTTGTATATGGTTTGAGGTAGGGATCATTTCAGTTTTTTGTTCGTTTGTTTGTTTTTTCTAAGCAATGTATCCTACACCAGTTGTTGAAAAGACTCCTTTCCTCATTGAATCGCATTGATTCCTTAAAGAAAATCAATTGACAAGGTGTTTCTGTGTTCTCTTTTGTTCCTCTTTAGATCAATTTGTTGAGAATTTCATCAGTATCACACTGATGATTCTGCGGTTTTACAGAACTTTTTAAACACCAGGTAAGATTAAATGCTCCAACATCAAATTTAAAAGTTTCATTTGGTTTGCTTAATTCCCATATAATACTTTAGAATAAGCTCATCAGTTTCTTAAAAAACGTGTTATTTTATTGTGATCAGCACTACAATGCAACCACAGATCCAGGGAAAATTATCATCTTCATGATATTGAACATTATAGTTCATTTTGCTTTAAGATGCTTTTGTCGCTGCTGTTTATTCAGTGGGAGGGATATAGCTTCTGATGCTACATAGTAGAAACAAAATGTGTGATTTTTAAAAATTAAAATATTTTCAAATGATTCTATAGGTGAATATAAGTTACTGATTGGCTGAAGGTCTTGGCTAGTTCTGTGCAATTTTTTTATAGGAATAAAGTCTTTATGAAATATAAAATTTTTGATGTATTTGTATCAAGTAATATGTGACTGGGACCATCTATTCTCCTTTATTTGTTTTAGAATGAAGTTCTGAGCAGTGGCATTGTGATATGCTGCAGAGAGCTAAACCTTTGTTGTTCATTATTTTATGACTGAGGGATGTTGAAATGTATAAACCTTCCAGCTTTACAACTTTGGGCTTTTTTCTTAGAAGACATCAGTTCCAGATGAGCACAGACACTTGGTCCTGCTGAGTGAGCAGAAGCTCACTGAATGACAATGTGCTTGTGGAAGTCTGATTCTTTAGATCTGGTTCCTACAGGAGGTGTGGGAGGCTGTTTTCTCTGGAGATGGTAAATGATGCTAAGACAAAGCTTTTGGATTTTTCAGATCAATCCTTTCATCAGATGAAAAAATTGGCTAGTATACCTTCTAAGTGTTCTATATTGTTGAAGGATATAGAGCAAGGATGCCTGTTTATCCAGGGCATTAAGGAAGACACATTTGGGGAAGAGAAGTGTGAGAAGAAATGTCTGGACTCTGGAGGCAGGTGAATGTGAACTTTGTCATAAGTGGACGTATTTTTGTCCCGACATGTCAGGATTTGGTTCTCAGTGTTCTTGGTGTCTACCTACAAAGATCTTTGTAAAAAAACAAAAACGAAAACAAAGAGTACATGTAAACCCTCTGCTTTTGCATAGCAGGGAAATAGTGTTATTCTTCCCTATCTGTGGGATACACTCCAAGATCCCTAGTGGATGCCTGAACTGTAAATGGAAATGAGCCTGTGTGGTTTTCCCTCTGCATGTACACATCTATGATAAAACTTACAGCAATATGCTGTAATAAGATTTATGTGAATACAGCCTTTTCCCTTTTTATTTAATTATTTTTAAAAAAATGATTGACTTAGTTATTTGTAATGACACACACACATTTATGGAGATAGAGATCTTCCATCTGCTGGTTCAGTCTCCATATGGCCACAGTGGCCAGTGCTGGGCCAGGCTGAAACCAGGAGCCAGGAATTTCATCTGGGTCTCCCATGTGGGTGACAGAGGCCTGAGCCTTGGGGTCATCTTTTTCTGCCTTGCCCAGGCCATTAGCAGGGAGCTGGGTCTGAAGTGGAGCAGTTAGGTTTCAAGCTAGTGCCTGTATGGGATGCTGACATTGCAGCCATTGGTTTTATACAGTATGCCATCAAGGTGGCCTCGTTTTCAAAATTTCTTACATGCTTACATCTTGTTACTTAAAGAAAGCGCTTATCTTGGACTCATTTGAATTGCCAGCATCTTTAGTCTTGTACTTTGAGGCCATTATTAAGTAAAATAAAGGTTGTTTGAAGATAGGTGCTGTGTTACTGCAATAGTTAAGCTGATAGGCAAGAGAACTACTAAGTGAATAATGGACAATGTGAGTAGTGTGAGCATGCCAGACTAAAGGATGATTCACATCCTGGGGCATAGAGTGGGATGGGGTAAGTTTTCATCATGCTACTAAGAATGGCACATAGTTAAAAACTTATGAATTATTTATTTCTAGAATTTTCCATTTAATATTTTTGGATCACAGTTGACTGTGGGTAATTGAAACCACAGAAAGCAAAACCTTGGAAAAAGAGGAAGTCTGTAGATGTAAATTCCTTTGTTTTTGTAGGTCAGTATTAAAAATGTCAAGTTGTATGTTCACTGTTTTTTGAAGTTTATTTTTTTTTAAAACTAGACTTTAAGATAAGTCACTTTTCTATTCGTATGTCTGTAGACTATAAGATTCTTGAAACAGTGAACTTATCTCTCTGGCTCATTATACACCTAGGCAACAGCATAGGAATTGGTACAAGATGTTTGCAGATTGTTCTTATTCAGCTATTGATCCCTGCACAACTTCTTAATTGCCTGATTTTCTTCCAGAGAAGTCAAGACACGGAAGTGTCTTCCACTCAGAAAATGCTGCAAAAGTGAATAAGCACACCCAACTTATTCTTCATTCCCTCCCCCCCAAAAGCCTACCTACAGAGAAAACTTTTTCTGATAGGGATATTTTGCTTTGTGGGGTGATGGTTAAGAGTGAACCAAAATTTTCTTGGCTATGAATATTGTGGCTATTACTTTTGTGCCAGGAAATTCATCTTAAAATTATTTATGTGTTTTTATTTAATTTGAAGGAGGCAGAGAGGGAGAGAGAGGTAGGGGGATGTGAGGGAGGGGAGAGAGAGAGAGAGAGAGAGAGAGAGAGAGAGAGAGAGACTGAATGTTCTGTGGATTCACTCCTCCAGTGCTCAAGGTAGCCAGACCTGAGCTGGGCTGATAACTGGAGCCTGGAATTTGTTCTGGTCTTCCACATAGATGGTGGGGAGATCTTCCGCAATCCAGACCACTTGTCATCAAGATGCTAGAATTGGTAGCAGAGCAGTGATTATAACCCAGAGATTCTGAGCTGAGTGTCTTAGCTGCCACACCAAATCCTCATCCTAGCAATTCCTTTTTACTGTATGTTTCTTCAGGCTGGTATTTGATTGGCATTCAAAAATGCTTACTGTATAATTCAACCAAAGCTAAGCCGCTTCTTCAGAAAAGTTCAGTTAAGTGAGATCCTAGTTATTTAAGGCAAACAAAGCAGCTCTGAATAAACACATGATATTGAGCTGTCTACAGGAACGACTTGAGTTTAAGAAACTACTTGGGCGCATGAACAGAACCCAGAGATGGGTTCTCAGAGCACACAGGGTTGGTGGTGGGAGGTTCAGGGAGCCCCTGGCTTCCTGGTTGATGTGTTCCACCAGCTGTGGATGAGACGCATGTGGATTTTGAGGGCTTTTCTCTCCCACTTTTCTGACAAGACAATGCATGTATAATGAAGAGCAAAGAAGGGAAAAAAAGGAATAAAAAGTAAAGGGAACCCATTCTAATGTTTAAATCATTTTAAAAAAATCATGGTTTGTTCTTAAAGTTTTTTTTAAAAGAGAATAAATGCAAGAATGTATTTTTTTGAGCCCTCTGAAAGACGTGTTTCTATTTCCAGTAGAACTTGAACCAGATATGGGATTATTTTAAAAATAATCGACAGCTTTTAAGCAGAATGGCTAAGCCTTCAAATCCTCAGATGCTTTCCAAGTGGAGCTTTTCTTTAAGGTTGTCAAATAAATATGTTTGGGGAAGATGGTAATTAAGTGTGAACAGATGGCCCGTGTTAGTGCAGATACAAAGTCCTGACGTTTCGGTTTAATAGAATGGTCTGCCCGTCAGAATCAGTGGGTGTGATGGAGTATACTGCTTGGCAATACATCAGGTTTGTCAAAGCTAATTGGGAACTGTGATTGAGATTCAAATTCCTTATAAGGCTTCTAGGACCAGCGAAAGTGTTAGAGGAAGATTACGACACCGCTACGCACTGCCAGAACCTTACACTGTGGTTCTGCAGACCTAAGATTGCCTCCCAAACAGAAATATAGGATTCCCAACAGACAATGTTGTGGTGGAGTGAAACGGGCTCTGGATTCCTGGTATCGGTTTCTTTTTTGCCCTTGGCTGACTTTGTGACCTGGGGCAAGTCCCTGACTCCCTCTAGACCCTGGTGTCCTCATTTTTCCAAGTAGAGAAATATTGAAATTAAAATGCAATTCAGTTATTTTCCAAAGCCATGGTCCAAACAAGAGAAGTGGGAGCATCCGGAGGTTAAGAGCTTCCGCACCCCGTTAGAGCAGAGCACCCGTCCGTGCCTTTGTATCCCTGGGTTGGTGAGTTTGGAGCTTCCAGGCATCAGGTTTCTTGTCTGCATCTTCTGCCTTACGTATTTTCTAGATCAGCTTTTTCAAAATCAAGGAGTTGAAAGGTTAGGGAGATGTGAGCTACAAATTTCAGAAACATCCGGGAGCTGAGCCCATAACTAAGCATCTGTCCAGGGTGGGTAAGCAGGATGGGTCTTTCTGTGGATAAGACCATGAGAGTGGCATGCGAGCATTGCTTCTCTTTCCACGGTTAGTGGGAGGGACACTGCAGGGAGGAGGTTTGGGAGACCTGGAGTTTTTCAGCTGCCATCCAGCATCTACTCAAGCTATGTTCTTTCTCTGTCTCTGCCTTTAGATAGAGGTTTTCTCTGAAAACCATGGTTATAGTGTGCCCAGAGTTTTAGACCAATGGATGGGATCTGCAGTGATAGTGTTCCCAGTCAAGAGAATAATGGATAAAGCCCACCCACTGGATGCTCACAGAACGACAGGCACGAGGCCAAGGCTTTAGACCCACCAGAAAGCTTTACTATCCAGATCGTTCACTGACTCTTTAGAAGCACTGCAGGCATCATTTCACCAAAGAGAAGGAAGGTTGTGTCCTCACAAGCCCGATGTCTACCCAGTACATAAGTCACCTGGGAACAAGGAGGTTTTGACCATTATTATCTCCAATGTCTGCAACTTATTACTGCAATCAGTCAGGAGCCGGGTCTGGTTTTTAATTATTGGACACTCCTGGATTTAAAGACACCTTACAGCCTCCTCGAGAGGGAGCAGGAGATGAGAGAAGATGACAGAATAGCCTGCATCCCAGTCTCTCATTTCAGTAAGGGACTGTGAAGACTGTGAAGGGGAACTGTCTGTTGTAGATGAAGTCAGGCCAAGCATGG